GGGGATGACAAGACCCAACGCTTCTTCGATCAGACGGTCACCGACCTCCCCTTCTTCCTCACTCTCGAGCCGACTGATCGTTCCCCGGCGTCTCGTCGCCACCGCTCCTCTGCACATTTCGATGTAATGGAGACGGGGTACGACTTCATTCTCGGCACTCCGTGGTCTCGTCGGTTCCGCAGCACCGAGGCCGATTGGGCGACCAACACTCTCGTTCTCAAAACGAAGTGTGGACAGACSTATCGCGTACCTTTCATAGGTACCACGGCGATACCACGCCCCGATCCTCCTTCCTCGGAGCCTTCAGTGCCCACACCATCTCCCTCTATCACTGTCACCTCGCCTCGGCAGTTCGCTCACTTCATTCGACAGGACGACTTCACCTTCTTTATGGTGGACGTGACGGATCTCTTACACTATGATCCACCCTGTCCCGACGCCGAGCTCATCCCTCTGGAGCCAGATCCTTCCTCTATCTCCATGGCTCCCACCTCTACTTCCGTCCCTCCGCCGTCCGTCGAGTCCACCCCGCCGTCGGGCGCTGACGCTGACGCTGAGGAACTCGCACGATATACGGCTGACCTGGAGCCCGCAGTTCGTGACCTCATCCGCGAGAACCACGACGTTTTCCCATCGTCGTTCTCGTACGCCGGCATCCCACCAATGCGTGACGTCGAGCACTCCATTCAGCTTGTGCCTGACTATYGTGTTCACCACCAGGCACCCTACAGACTCTCGATTCCCGAGGCCACCGAACTCAAGCGTCAGCTTGAGGAGCTCCTAAGACTGGGTTTCATTAAACCCAGCATCTTCCCGTGGGGTGCACCCGTCCTCTTTGCTCGCAAAGCGGATGGAACTCTCCGTCTCTGCATCGACTATCGCGGTCTCAACCGCTACACGGTTAAGAACAACTACCCCATGCCTCGTTCCGATGAGCTGTTCGACCGCCTAGCAGGCAACCACTTCTTTACGAAGATTGATCTTCGTAGCGGTTACCATCAGATCCGCGTCGCTGCAGCTGACCAGCCGAAGACAGCGTTCCGATCGCGCTTCGGCCACTACGAGTTTACTGTGATGCCATTCGGCCTCACCAATGCACCCGCCACCTTCCAGAGGGCGATGAACGACATCTTTAGGGACATCCTGGAGCAGTACATTCTCGTCTACCTCGACGATATCCTGGTCTATTGTCGTACCCTTGAGGAGCACCTCAGACACCTCCGCGACGTCCTTGACCGCTTGCGCAGATATGGCCTTTACGCCAAGCTGAGCAAGTGCCGCTTTGCCGAGCACAAAGTGGATTTCTTAGGACACTACGTGTCTGACCAGGGTCTCCACATGGACGACGCGAAGATCACTGCTATTGCGGAGTGGCCCGCACCCACATCCGCCAAGCAGCTTCGCAGCTTCCTAGGCCTGACCAGCTACTATAGTAACTTCATCCGGGGATACGCTAGGTATTGCTATGTCCTTACCTCCACCCTCCTCCAGAAGAACCCACCCTGGGCTTGGACACCCCTCCATGAGGACGCCTTCCGCGCCCTCAAGAAGGCGGTGACATGCACACCGGTTCTTCACCTACCCGATTTTGACCGCCATTTTATCCTTACCACCAATGCGTCAGACTTTGCTGTAGGAGCTGTGTTTTTTCAGGTCTTTTCCTCCTCTCCTGATTCCTCTCATCCTTTTATCCCTCGCTTCCCACCACCTACCCCTACCACTGCTTCCCGACTGACGCCTACTCGTCCAGGTACTKACGAGCCTTCTATTGACTATTCTCCTACCATCGCCGAGGACGGCACTGTCGAGTCTCGCTCCGGTGATTGTCCGATAGCCTTCTACTCCCGTCAGCTTCTGCCCGCCAAGATAAACTACACCGCTGATGAACGTGAGGTTCTCGCAGTAGTTTATGCCGCTCGGCACTGGCGTCACTACCTGCACGGGGCACCGTTCACGGTGCGTACAAACAACTACACTCCTCGATAGGCTTGCTGGTGGTGCGACCTATCCGAGTTTAGTTTCACCACTGAGCACATCAAGGGTGAAACTAATCGGGTCGCTGATGCCTTATCCCGGCGCCCTGACCACGACCAGGAGCACATCCATCTCTCTTCCATCTCGGTCACCACCGTCC